CGGTTACGCATTGCTGGTGGTGGCGGAGAGTTCTGTTGTTGCTGCTGTTGTTGTTGGTGATGGTGTTGTTGCTGCGTTGGCGGTGGTGCGTTGATGGTGGCAGGTGGTGGTGGCGGTGGAGCAGTTCTTGTTGTTGCTGCTGTTGTTGCTGGTGATGGTGTTGCCGTTGCGCGGCGGCGGCGGCGGCGGAGAGTTCCTGTCGTTGCTGCCGTTGTTGTTGGTGATGGTGTTGTTGTTGATGGTGTTGTTGGTGGTGGTGGTGGTGAGAGTTCTTGTTGCCGCTGCCGCCGTTGCTTGGTGATGGTTGCTGTTGGCGTTGCGGAGTTCTTGCTGTTGCTGCCGTTGCTGTTGGTGATGGTGTTGTTGGTGCTGTTGGTGGTGGTGCAGGAGAGTTCTGTTGCTGCTGCTGTTGTTGGCGATGGTGTTGTTGTTGCTGGTGGTGGTGATGCCCTGGTTGTTGCCGTTGTTGTTGCTGGATGATGGCGTTGTTGCTGGTGGCGTTGCTGGTGGCGGTGGTGGTGGTGGTTGCCGCTGCTGTTGCCGTTTGCCGTTGTTGCTTGCTGCTGGTGTTGGTGGCGTTGTTCCTTGCTTCGTTGCCGCTGTTGTTGTTGGCGATTATGCCGTCGCTGGTGATGGGTGTTGCTGTTGGTGGCGTTGGCTGCGGTGGTGGCGGTGGTGAGTTCTGTTTACCGTTGCCAGCCGCTGTTGCTGTTGGTAGCATGGTGTTGCTGGCGGCGTTGGTGACGGCGCTGCTGGCGGCGTTGCTTGGCGGTGGTGAGCCGGTTTGGTTGCTGCTGGTGATGAGTTGTTGCTGCTGGGCGCTGGTGGTGGTGGTGGTGAGGAGTTGCTGTTGTTGCTGGTGGTGGCGGTGGCGGTGGAGAGCGTTACTATTGTTGTTGTTGTTGTTGGCGGTGGCGGTGAGAGTTCTTGTTGTTGCTGCTGCTTGTTGCTGGTGATGGCGTTGGTTGCTTGGCGGTGTTGGCGACGGTTGTTGTTGGCGGCGTTGCTTCGGTGGTGGTGATTAAGGTTAGTTGCTGGCGGTGGTGTTGCTGTTGCCGGTGCTGGCGGTGGTGCAGGAGAGTTCTTGTTGCTGCCGCCGTTGTTGTTGCATGGTGTTGTTGTTGGTGGTGCTGGTGGTGGCAGGTGGCAGCCCGCTGCCGCTGCTGCTGCTGTTGGCGACTTTGCGTTGTCATTGGTGTTGGTGGCGGTGGTGAGAGTTCTGATGGTTGCTGCTGTTGTTGAAGCTGGCGATGCTGTTGTTGGTGGCGTGCTGGTGGTGGTGGAGTTCTTGTTGTTGCTGGCTGGTTGTTGTTGGTGATGGCGTCGTTGTTGGTGGTGTTGGTGGCGGTGGTGGTGGAGTTCTGTTGTTGCTGCTGCTGTTGCTGGTGATGGTGCTGCCGGTGCTGGTGGTGGTGGTGGTGGAGAGCCTGCTGTTGCTGCTGCTGTTGTTGTTGCTGTTGTTGCCGGCGTGCTGGTGGTGGTGCGATAGCCATTGCTGCCGCCAGTTGTTGTTGGTGATGGCGCTGCTGTTGCGGTGCTGGCGGCGGCGGCGGCTGTTGTTGTTGCTGGTGGTGGTGGTGTTGTTGTTGGTGTTGGTGGTGGTGGTGGTGGAGTTCTTGCTGCTTGGTTGTTGGCGATGTTGTTGCTGGTGGCGCTGGTGGCGGTGGCGGTGGAGAGTTCCCGTTGCTGCCGCCGTTAAGCCGTTGGCGACGGTGTCATTGCTTGCTTCGGCGGTGCTGGTGGTGGCGGCGGTGATATTCCGTCGTTGCCGGCTGCTGTTGTTGGCGATTATGCCGTTGTTGCGTTGGTGGGTGGTGGTGGTGGTGGAGAGTTCTGTTGTTGCTGCCGTTGCTGGTGATGGTGTTGGTTGCTGCTGGTGGCGTTGGTGGTGGTGGTGGTGAGTTCTTGTTGTTGCTGCCGTTGTTGCTGGTGATGGTGCTGTTGTTGGTGGCGTTGCGGTGGCGGCTTGCTTGCTTGCTGCTGGTGGTTGGTGGTGGTGGTGGTGGCGGAGAGGCTGTTGTTGTTGCTGCTGTTGTTGCTGGTGATGGCGTTGTTGCTGGTTGGTGGTGCAGGAGAGTTCTTGCTGTTGCTGCCGTTGCTTAGTTGCGACGGTGTTGCGCTGTTGATGGCGTTGCTGGCGGTGGCGGTGATGCTGTTGCTTGCTCGCCGCCGTTGTTGTTGGTGACGGTGTTGCTGGTGGCGTTGCTGCGGTGGCGGTGGTGGTGAGAGTTCTTGTTGTTGCTGCTGCTGTTGCTGGTGACGGCGTTGCTTGGCGATGGTGTTGTTGGTGATGGTGCTGGTGGTGGTGGTGGTTTGTTCTTGCTGTTGCTGCTGCTGTTGTTGGTGATGGTGTTGTTGCTGGCGGCGTTGGTGGCGGCGGCGGCAGGAGAGCCGTTGCTTGCTCGCTGCTGGTTATTGTTGGTGATGGTGTTGTTGGTTAAGCCAGCTGTTGTTGGTGGCTGGCGGCGGTGGTGGAGAGCCGTCGTTGCCGGGCGACGGCGTTGGCTGGTGATGGCAAGCCAAGCTGCCGGTGCTGGCAGGCGGCGGCGAGTTCCTGCTTCGTTTGCCGCCGTTGTTGCTGGTGATGGTGCTTTGCTTCGTTGGCGGCGCTGGTGGCGGTGGCGGCGGGAGAGCCATTGCCGTTGCTGCTGTTGTTGGCGACGGCGTTTCGCTTCGTTGCGGTTGCTGTTGGGTGGTGTTGGCGGCGGTGGTGAGTTGCTGTTGTTGCTGCTGTTGTTGTTGCTGTTGTTGCTGTTGCAGGTGGTGGTGGTGGTGGAGTTCTTGTTGTTGCTGCCGTTGTTGATGGTGTTGTTGGCGGTGGCGGTTGGCGGAGTCTTGTTGTTGCTGCCGCTCGTTGTTGGCGGATGTGTTGTTGTTGGTGGTGGTGGTGGTGGCAGGTGATATTCTGTCTGTTGCCGCCGTTGCTGTTGCCAGTCGCTGGCTGGTTTGCTGGCGATGTTGCTGGTGCTGTTGCTGGCGGCGGTTGCTGCCGCCATTGCTGCTGCTGTTGCTGTTGCCGCCGTTGCTGGGCGCTGGTGATGGTGTTGTTGCTGTTGGGAGGTGGTGGCGGTGGCGGTGGAGAGCTGTTGTTGTTGCTGCTGTTGTTGTTGGTGATGGTGTTGTTGTTGGCGGTGTTGCGCCGTGGCGGTGGTGGTGGTGAGAGCTGTTGCTGCTGCCGGTTGCTTAAGCTGGCGACGGCGGTTGCTGTTGGTGGCGGTGGCGGCGGTGGCGGTGGGCCGGTTGCTCGTTGCCGCTGCTGCTGGCGACGCGTTGTTGTTGGTGGCGTTGCTGGCGGTGGTGCAGGATATTTCAGTTGGTTGTTGCTGCCGTTGCTGTTGGTGATGGTGTTGTTGTTGCTGTGGTGGTGGTGGTGGTGGTGGAGAGCTGTTGCTGGTTGCTGCCGTTGCTTCGCTGCTGGTTGCTGTTGCTGCGGTGGCGGTGGTGGCGGTGGTAAGAGTTCCTTGCTGTTGCCGCTGTTGTTGTTGGCGATGGCGTTAAGCTGTTGCCGGTGTTGGCGGCGGTGGCGGCGGTGAGAGCCTTGCTGTTGCCGCTGTTGCTTGCGATAAAGCCTGTGTTGCTGTTGGTGGTGTTGGTGGCGGCGGTGAGCAGGTCCTTGCTTCGTTGCTGCTGCTGTTGCTGGCGACGGTGTCGCTTGTTGGTGGCGCCTGGTGGTGGCGGCGGTGCAGTGAGAGTTCTTGTTGTTGCCGTTGTTGTTGCTGGTGACGGCGTTGTTGTTGGTGGTGTTGGTGGCGTGGTGGTGGTGGTGAGTGGTTGTTGCTGCTGCTGCTTGTTGCTGGTGATGGGTGTTGTTGGTGTTGGTGGCGGTGGTGGCAGGAGAGTTCTGTTGTTGCTGTTGTTGCTGCTGTTGTTGCCGTTGCTGCTGTTGGCTGGTGGCGGCGGCGGTGGTGATATTCCTTGTTGTTGCCGCCGTTGTTGTTGCTTGGTGATGGTGTTGTTGTTGGTATGCTGGCGGTGGTGGTGGCGGTGGAGTTCTTGCTGTTGCTGCTGTTGTTGGCAGATGGTTGTTGTTGCTGGTGCTGGTGGCAGGAGCAGGCTCTGTTGTTGCTGCTGCTGTTGTTGGTGATGGCGTTGTTTGCCGTCAGCCGGCGCCTGGCAGTAGGTGATGAGTTCTGTTGTTGCTGCTGTTGTTGCTGGTGATGGTGTTGTTGTTGCTGGTGTTGGTGGTGGGTGGTGGTGGAGAGTTCTTGTTGTTGCTGCCGTTGTTGCTGGTGATGGCGTTGTTGCTGGTGGTGCTGGTGGTGGTGTTGCTGGCATATTCCTTTGTTGTTGCTGCCGTTGCTTGCTGGTGACGGCGTTGCTGTTGGTGGTGCTGGTGGCGGGTGGTGGTGGTGAGCAGGCCTTGTTGTTGCCGCTGTTGTTGCTGGCGATGGTGTTGGTTGTTGGTGTTGCGGTGGTGGTGGTGGTGATGGTTGCTGCTGCTGTTGCTGGTGATGGTGTTGTTGCTGTTGCTGCTGTTGCGGTGGCGGAGTCTCGTCGTCAAGGCTGCCGTTGTTGTTGGTGATGGCGCTGCTCGTTGGCGGTGCCGGCGGCGGCGTTGCTGGTGATATTCTTGTTGTTGCTGCTGTTGTTGCTGGTGATGGCGTTGTTGCTGGTGCAGTTGGTGGTGGCGGTGGTGAGAGTCCTTGCTTGCCGCTTTTTCGTCGTTGCCGCCGTTGCCGTTGCCGTTGCCGCTTGCTGGCAGGTGAGTCCTGGTTGCCGTCGCCGCTTGCTTGCCGGGTGACGCTGGCGTTCGTTGCTCGGCGTAGAGAGAGTGTGCGTAGGAGAGTTCTTGCTTGCTGCTGCTGTTGTTGTTGGTGATGGTGTTGCTGGGCGGCTGGTGTTGGTGGTGGTGGCAGGAGAGTTCTTGTTGTTGCTGCTGCTGCTGGTTGCTGGTGATGGTGCTGCTGTTGCCGGCGTTGGCGGTGGTGGCGGAGAGCCTTGGTTAAGCCGCTTCGGTTGGGGTTGTTGCTGGCTGATGGTGTTGCTGTTGCGTTGGCGGCGGCGGCGGTGGTGGAGAGTTCTTGTTGTTGCCGCTGCTGGTGCCGTTGGTGATGGTGTTGTTGTTGCCGTGGTGCTGGTGGTGGTGGCGGTGAAAGAGTTCTTGTTGTTGCTGCCGTTGCTGTTGCTGGTTGTTGCTGTTGCTGGCGGTGGTGGTGGCAGGCGGTGATATTCCTGTTGCTTGCCGCTGCCGTTGTTGGTGATGGCGTTGTTGCCGGCGTTGGTGGTGAAGTGGTGGAGAGCCTTGTTGTTGCTGCTGTTGTTGGCGCACGGTAAGCCGTTGCTGGCCGGTGCTGGCGGTGGCAGTGGTGAGAGCCGTTGTTGCTGTTGTTGCTGGATGGTGCTGTTGCAGGCGGCGGCGGAGGAGTCTTGCTTGTTGCTTTCGCCGGTTGTTGTTGAAGATGGCGTTGGCAGGCGGGCGGGAGAGCGTTGTTGCTCAAGCCAGTCAGCCGGATGGCTGGCGGTGAGAGCCCTTATTGGTTGCCGCCGTTGCTGGTGCTGGCGTACGGTGCCGTTGCTGCTGGTGTTGGTGGGCGGCGGTGAGCATTCTGTTGTTGCCGTTGCCAGCTTGCCGCGACGGTGTTGCTTGCTGGCGGTGTTGCTGCTCGGCGGTGGCGGCGCGAGCCTGGGGTTGCTTGTTGCCGCTGTTGCTTGTTGGTGATGGCGTTGTTGCTGGCGTGCTGGGCGGTGGTGGCGCCTTGCTGTTGCTGCTGTTGTTGCTGGCGATGGCGTTGTTGCTTGCGGCGTTGGCGGCGGCGGTGCGGAGTTCTTGCTGCCGCTGCCGCCGCTGGCGACGGTGTTGTTTGGTGTGCTGGCGGCAGGCGGAGAGTCCTTGCTGTTGCCGCCGCCGGTTGCTGGCGGATGGCGTTGTTGTCAGTTGCGTTGCGGCGGCGGAGCCCGCTGCCGCCGCTGAATGTTGCCGTTGCTTCGTTGCTGCTGGCGGCGTTGGCGGCGGCGGCAGTGGTGGTGGGAGTTCTTGCTGCTTTCGCTGCTGTTGCCATTGCCGGTTGCCGCGGCGGTGCTGGCGGCGGCGGTGGTGGTGGAGTATTCCGTTGCCGCCGCTGTTGCTTGCCGGGAGATGCAGGTTGTTGTTGGCGGTGCTGGTGGTGGTGAGAGCGGCGGTTGCCGCTGTTGCGTCAGTGATGGTTGCTGCTGGTGCTGGCGGCGGTGGTGGAGAGTCTTGTTGCTGCTGTTGTTGCTGCTGCCGTTGTTGCTGCTGCCGTTGTGCTTGCTCGGTGATGGTGCTTGGTTGTCGGTGCCGGCGGTGGTGGCGGGTGGTGAGAGTTCTTGCTGTTGCTGCCAGCTGTTGTTGGGCGGATGGTGTTGCTGTTGCGGTGCTGGTGGTGGTGGTGAGAGCCCTTAAGGCTGCCATTGCTGCTGGTGACGGCGTTTGCTGTTGCTGCGGCGTTGGTGGCGGCAGGTGGTGGGTGAGAGAAATTGCTGCTGTTGTTGCTGGTGACGGTACAGTCGGTTAAGCCGCGTAGTGTTGGTGGCGTGGTGGTGGTGGAGAGTTCTTAGTTGGTCGCTGCCGTGCCGTTGTTGCTGGGGCGTGATGGTTGATGGTGCTGTTGCGGCGGTGGTGGGAGAGGCTCTGTTGCTGCCGCCGTTGTTGCTGGCATTATGTTGTCGGCTTGTTGCGTGCTGGTGGCGGCGGTGGTGGCGGAGTTCCTTGCTGTTGCCGCCGTTTGTTGCTGGCGACGGCGTCGCTGCGTTTGCTGGTGCTGGTGGCGGTGGCGGTGGCCTTATTGGTTGCCGCTGTTGTTGCCTGGTGATGGTACGTTGCCGGCTTGCGGCGTTGGCGGCGGCAGGTGGTGGTGGTTGTTGCTGCTGGTTGTTGTTGGTGATTGCGTTGTTGTTGCTGGCGGGTGGTGGTGTTGGTGGCGGTGGTGGCGGTGTTTTGTTTGCTGTCAGTTTGGTTGGTGGTGGCGTTGCTGGTTGCTGGTGCAGGTGGTGGTGGTGGGAGAGTTCTGCCGGTTGCTGGCTGTTGTCGACGGCGTTTGTTGCTGGCGAGGCGTTGCTGCAGTCAGTGGCGGCGGCGGCGGTGGTGGTGGTCCTGTTGTTGTGGTGGTGTTGTTGTTGGTGATGGTGTTTGCTGTTGGTGGTGGTGGTGTTGTTGGTGCTGGTGGTGGTGTGTGGTGGTGGTGTCAGTTGCTGTTGCTGGTGGTTGGTTGGTGGTGATGGTGTTGTTGCTGGTGGTGGTGGTGGTGGTGGTGGAGAGTTCTTGCTAAGCCGCCGTTGCTTGCTGGCGATGGTGTTGTTGTTGTTGGTGCTGGTGGTGTTGCGGTGGCGGCGGTGATATTCCGTTGTTGCTGCTGTTGTTGTTGCCGTTGGTTGCTGGTGATGCGTTGTTGCTGGCGGCGTTGGTGGTGGTGGTGGTGGAGAGTTCTTGTTGTTGCTGCTGTTGTTGTTGGTGATGGCAGTGTTAAGGCTGGTGGTGGTGGTGGTGTCTGCAGGTGGTGGTGGTGGAGAGTTCTTGTTGTTGCTGCTGTTGTTGCTGGTGACGGCGTTGTTGGTGGTGTTGGTGGTGGCGGTGGTGGTGATATTCTTATTGTTGCTGTTGTTGTTTGCGATGGTGTTGTTGTTGTTGGTATTGCGGTGGCGGTGAGAGCTGTCATTGTTGCCGCCGTTGCTGTTGGTGATGGTGTTGTTGTTGCTGGTGCTGGCGGTGGCGGTGGTGAGAGTTCTTGTTGTTGCTGGTGCCGTTGTCAACGTTGGCGATTTGCGTTACTGTTGGGGGTGGCGGTGGTGGTGGTGGTGATATTCTGTTGTTGCCGTTGTTGTTGTTTGCGGTGATGGTGGTGGTGGCGGTGGTGGTGGTGGCGGTGGTGAGCAGTCTTGGTTGCCGTTGCTGCCGTTGTTGTCGGTGACGGTGCTGTTGCTGTTGGTGGTGCTGCGGTGCGGCGGCGGTGGAGAAAGCCCTGCTTGCCAATGCTTGCTGTTGCCCAGATGGCGTTGTTGTCTGCTGGTGGTGTTGGTGGTGGTGAGAGTTCTTGTCATTGCTGCTGTTGTTGCTGGTGATGGTGTTGTTGTTGTTGTTGCTGCGGTGGTGGTGTTGGTGGTGCTGGAGAGTTCTGTTGTTGCTGCCGTTGTTGTTTCAGATGAGCTGTTGCTGGCGTTGGCGGCGGTAAGTGCTTGCAGGCGTTGGAGAGTTCTTGCTGTTGCCGCTGGCTGTTGGTTTGGTGACGGCGTTGTTGTTGTTGGTGGTGTTGCGGTGGTGGTGGAGAAAGCTCTTGTTGTTGCTGCCGTTGTTGTTGGCAGATGGTGTTGTTGTTGTTGCTGCTGGTGGTGGTGCGCTGGTGGCAGGCGTTGGAGTTCCGTTGCTGCTGCTGTTGCTGTTGCTTCCAGATGGTGTTGTTGTTGCTTGGTGGCGGTGCTGGTTCCGTTGTTGCTGCTGGTTGGTTGGAAGATGGCGTTGTTGTTGCGCTGGTGGTGCTGGTGGTGGTGGTGGTGGGTGAGAGTCTTTGTTGCTGCTTTCGTTGTTGTTTGCGATGGTGTTGCTGTTGCTGGTGCGGTGTTGGTGGTGGTGGTGGCAGGAGAGTTCTGCTGTTGCCGTTGCTGTTGTCGATGGTGTTGTTGCTGGTGGTGTTGGTGGTGGTGGTGGCGTCTTGGTTGTTGCCGTTGCTTCGTTGCCAGATGGTTAGTTGTTGTTGGCGGTGTTGGTGCAGGAGAGTTCTGTTGTTGCCGCTGTTGTTGTTTGCGATGGTGTTATGCTGTTGTTGGTGGTGTTTGGTGGTGGCGGTGGAGAGTTCTTATTGTTGCCGCGCTGCCGTTGGGTTTTGCGTTGTTGCGCTGTTGAAAGGTGTTGGTGGTGGTGGAGAGTTCTGTTGTTGCTGCTGCCGTTGTTGGTGATGGTGTTGTTGTTGCTGGTGTTGGCGCCCTTGTTGTTGCTGCTGGTTGCTTAGTTTGTGATGGTGCTTGTTGTTACGGTGCTGGCGGCGGCGGTGTTGGTGGTGTTGAGTCTTGTTGTTGCTGCTGTTGTTGTTTTGTGATGGTGTTGTTGTTGCGGTGGAGGAGTCTGGTTAAGGTTGCTGCTGTTGCTGGTGATGGTGTTGCTTGCTCGCTTGCTGCTGGTGGTGCAGGTGCTGGCGGTGTTGGGAGTTCTTGTTTGTTGCTGCTGTTGCTGTTTCAGATGGCGTTGTTGCTGCGGTGTTGGCGGTGGCGGTGAGAGTTCCTGCCGTTGCTGCCGTTGTTAAAGCTGGCGACGGTGCCGTCAAGTTGTTGTTGGTTGGTGGTGGTGGTGTTGGTGGTGGCGTTGGGAGAAAGTTCTGGTTGTTGCTGCCGCTGTTGTTTGCAGATGGTGTTGTTGTTGCGCTGGTGTTGGCGGCGGTGTTGGGAGTTCTTTTGTTGTTGCTGCTGCTGTTGTTGGCGATGGCGTTGTTGCTGCTTCGTTGTTGCTGGTGGTGGTGGTGGCGTTGGCGGTGGTGCTTTTGCCGTTGCTTTGCTGCCGTTTGCAGATGGTGTTGTTGCTGCGGTGTTGCGGTGGAGTTCTGTTGTTGCTGCTGCTTCGTTGGTTTCGCAGTCGGTAAAGCCGTTGCCGCGGTTGGCGGCGTTGGTGGCGCAGGATATTGGTTGCTGCTGTTGTTGTTTGTGATGGCGTTGCTGGTTTGCCTGCTTGCCGCCGTTGTTCGTTTGTGACGGTGTTGTTGCTGTTGGTGTCGCGGTGGTGGCGGTGAGAGTTCTTGTTGTTGCTGCCGTTGTTGTTTCAGATGGTGCTTGCTGTTGGTGCTGGTGGTGGTGGTGGCGGAGAGTTCTTGTTGTTGCTGCTGTTGCTGTTTTTGTGATGGTGTTGTTGTTGCTGGTGCTGCGGTGGTGGTGGTGTTGAGTTCCTTTGCTTGTTGCTGCCGTTGTTGTTCAGGATGGCGTGTTGTTGGTGCTGGTGGCGGTGGTGGCGCCTGCCGCTGTTGCTGCTGCTGTTGCTGTTTGTGATTGCGTTGCTGCGCTGTTGGCGGCGGTTGCGGTGGCGGTGGCTGCTGCTTGCTGTTTGTGACGGTGTTGCTTGTTGTTGGTGGCGTTGGCGGTGGTGAGAGTTCCGTTGCTGCTGCCGTTGTTGTTTGTGATTTGCGCGTTGTTGCTTGTTGCGGGCTGGCAGGTGGTGAGAGTTCTTGTTGCTGTTGTTGTTGCTGCTGTTGCTGTTGTTGTTGTTGTTGTTGCGTTGCGGTGGTGCTGTTGGCGTTGGTGGTGGTGGTGGTGGAGAGTTCTGTTGTTGCTGTTGTTGTTGCTGCTGTTGTTGTTGTTGTTGTTGTTGGTGTTGAGAAAGGTGGTGGTGTTGCTGGTGTTGGTGGTGATAGTCTTTGTTGCTGTTGTTGCGATGGTGTTGTTTGCTTGGCGGCGCTGGCGGCGGCGGAGTTCCATCGTTGCCGCCGTTGCTGCCTGGCGATGGCGTTGTTGTTGTTGGTTGGTGGAGAGTTCTTGTTGTTGCGTTGCTGTTGTTGTTTCAGTGATGGTGTTGCTGGTGCTGGTGCGGTTGGTGGTGGCGGCGGAGAGTTCTTGCTGTTGCTGCTGTTGTTGTTTGCAGATGGTGTTGTTGTTGGCGGCGTTGGTGGTGGTGGTGGGAGTTCTTGTTGTTGCCGCCGTTGTTGTTTGCGATGGTGTTGTTGTTGGTGCTGGCGGGGAGAGTCTTGTTGTTGCTGTTGTTGCTGTTGGTGATGGTGTTGCGCTGTTGTTGGCGGTGCTGGTGTTGGTGGTGGTGGCGGAGCCTTATTGTTGCTGCCGTTGTTGTTTGTGACGGTGTTAAGCGTTGTTGGTGGTGGTGGTGGTGGAGTTCTGTTGCGCTGCTGCCGTTGTTGCTGGTGATGGCGTTGTTGTTGCTGGCGGTGCTTGGTGGCGGTGGTGGTGGAGGAGAGTTCTGCCGCCGTTGTTGTTTCAGATGCAGTGTTATTGCTGGTGGTGTTGGTGGTGGCAGGAGAGTTCTTGTTATTGCTGTTGTTGTTGTTGGTGACGGTGTTGGTGGGCGTTGGTGGTGTTGCTGGCGGTGTTGGTGGTGGTGAGAGTTCTTGCTTGTTGCCCGGCTGTTGTTGTTTGTGATGGTGTTGTTGTTGTTGGTGCGGCGGCGGAGAGTTCTTGGTTGCTGCCAAGGTTGCTGTTTGCAGATGGCGTTGCT